CCTTAATGCATTTGTACCACGAGTTACGTCACCATGAACCCACATGAACCCTCCATATATAGGCATCATTACCTATAATGTAATGTACTCTGTCTTGTTCGTACACGTTGACACATCAACGCCGTAAGTAAACCACTATTTTGATTACTAGGCCATCCCTGTAATGACGTCAGGTCAAGCTTAAGGTCACAAGTTGTACCATTGGGAAATGTTCCTATTAGTCAACATTGTTTTAAGGCTGAATAAGTAATCTAAAAGATTAATTTTAAATCCACCTTATCTGATATTGTACTTAATGAATTTCCCGTCGAGATTCTGGCAAGGATCTTACTCTTTTCGATTATCTTCTGTACACTAATTAGCTCAACGCTTAGCCGGCTCACACTCCAATTGTCCCTTCAAGCTCATTGTCAACAACAAACAGAAAAAAAAAATTCAGCAGGGTTACAGCTAGAAGTCAAATCACCATATTTCGTTATAAGACATATGTTGGTATATATGTCTCACATCCGAGAGGTAAGACACACTATATGTTGGTATATATGTCTCACAGCCTAGGGATAAGACACACTGTATGTTGGTATATATGTCTCACAGCCGAGGGATAAGACACACTGTATGTTGGTATATATGTCTCACAGCCGAGGGATAAGACACACTGTATGTTGGTATATATGTCTCACAGCCGAGGGATAAGACACACTGTATGTTGGTATATATGTCTCACAGCCGAGGGATAAGACACACTGTATGTTGGTATATATGTCTCACAGCCGAGGGATAAGACACACTGTATGTTGGTATATATGTCTCACAGCCGAGGGATAAGACACACTGTATGTTGGTATATATGTCTCACAGCCGAGGGATAAGACACACTGTATGTTGGTATATATGTCTCACAGCCGAGGGATAAGACACACTGTATGTTGGTATATATGTCTCACAGCCGAGGGATAAGACACACTGTATGTTGGTATATATGTCTCACAGCCGAGGGATAAGACACACTGTATGTTGGTATATATGTCTCACAGCCGAGGGATAAGACACACTGTATGTTGGTATATATGTCTCACAGCCGAGGGATAAGACACACTGTATGTTGGTATATATGTCTCACAGCCGAGGGATAAGACACACTGTATGTTGGTATATATGTCTCACAGCCGAGGGATAAGACACACTGTATGTTGGTATATATGTCTCACAGCCGAGGGATAAGACACACTGTATGTTGGTATATATGTCTCACAGCCGAGGGATAAGACACACTGTATGTTGGTATATATGTCTCACAGCCGAGGGATAAGACACACTGTATGTTGGTATATATGTCTCACAGCCGAGGGATAAGACACACTGTATGTTGGTATATATGTCTCACAGCCGAGGGATAAGACACACTGTATGTTGGTATATATGTCTCACAGCCGAGGGATAAGACACACTGTATGTTGGTATATATGTCTCACAGCCGAGGGATAAGACACACTGTATGTTGGTATATATGTCTCACAGCCGAGGGATAAGACACACTGTATGTTGGTATATATGTCTCACAGCCGAGGGATAAGACACACTGTATGTTGGTATATATGTCTCACAGCCGAGGGATAAGACACACTGTATGTTGGTATATATGTCTCACAGCCGAGGGATAAGACACACTGTATGTTGGTATATATGTCTCACAGCCGAGGGATAAGACACACTGTATGTTGGTATATATGTCTCACAGCCGAGGGATAAGACACACTGTATGTTGGTATATATGTCTCACAGCCGAGGGATAAGACACACTGTATGTTGGTATATATGTCTCACAGCCGAGGGATAAGACACACTGTATGTTGGTATATATGTCTCACAGCCGAGGGATAAGACACACTGTATGTTGGTATATATGTCTCACAGCCGAGGGATAAGACACACTGTATGTTGGTATATATGTCTCACAGCCGAGGGATAAGACACACTGTATGTTGGTATATATGTCTCACAGCCGAGGGATAAGACACACTGTATGTTGGTATATATGTCTCACAGCCGAGGGATAAGACACACTGTATGTTGGTATATATGTCTCACAGCCGAGGGATAAGACACACTGTATGTTGGTATATATGTCTCACAGCCGAGGGATAAGACACACTGTATGTTGGTATATATGTCTCACAGCCGAGGGATAAGACACACTGTATGTTGGTATATATGTCTCACAGCCGAGGGATAAGACACACTGTATGTTGGTATATATGTCTCACAGCCGAGGGATAAGACACACTGTATGTTGGTATATATGTCTCACAGCCGAGGGATAAGACACACTGTATGTTGGTATATATGTCTCACAGCCGAGGGATAAGACACACTGTATGTTGGTATATATGTCTCACAGCCTAGGGATAAGACACACTGTATGTTGGTATATATGTCTCACAATTGAGGGATAAGACACACTATATATTGGTATAAATGTCTCACAGCTGAGGGATAAGACACACTGTATATTGGTATAAATGTCTCACAGCTGAGGGATAAGACACACTGTATATTGGTATAAATGTCTCACAGCTGAGGGATAAAACACACTGTATATTGGTATAAATGTCACATAGGGATAATTAAATGCAAAGAAACATATCATGTTCTGTGTCAACACGTTTAAGTTGAGTTACGCCAGCTGATTTGTATAGCAATACACATGTAACCATTTAACAGAGAAAGTAAAGCCCGTGCAGAACAGGAAGTGACGTCGTTGAAAGTACGACATTTTACCCGGTTGTCACCAGTTCGTTGTGATCTTCCTGACATCTATCACGTATACACATTCTCCTGGAGGCGACGTTCCAATAATTTAAGATCTACATCAATAAAACGCCATCTAAATTGTTGTCACTTATAGGAATTTTTTCATACATCCGGGAAAACCATGACGTTGGTCTTCTTTTGATCTTCAAAGAGGAAAAAAGGTTAAGCTAACGGATAACAAGTTGGGCTTCACTATCAAAAGGACTGTAAAAGACTCACGATAATCTATACTGACATGATGTCGCCACATTGTCACGCGTGGCACTGTAGGATATTGAGTGCCGGGAAGTGCACGGCCTTTCACTGCATTCACAGATCAATTCATGTTCACCGTGTAACACTAATGGCCATTACCACGGCGGTAGGCCGGAAGTTACATAGCACAAACACTCTTAACTTACATCAAAAGCTGAAAATTTGAAGAACATTTCATTTCCTGATAGTCAAAGTACAGCCAACAAGTTCATCAATAAATTAATAATTTTTCAATAGAATATTGATTTGTTCAATACATAGTCATAATCATTCAAAAGCTTAAATGGGATTAATTATAAATGAAACAATAAAGAAACACAAATTAGTCCAACCTGTGGACTCTTGATCTACGTTTGTAATGAATTATTCATGAAAGTGACGTAAATAATGCAATCGATGAGTAATTGTCATATTATTTTAATCGTTGCGACGTACCTTCTCCAATTATTATTTCCTGTTTAGATTGATTGGTTTTGTTTAGTATTGTTTAACGTCCTATGAACAGCTATGGTCATTTAAGGACGGCCTCCCATGTGTGCAAGATGCATGCGTGTAGTGTATGCGTATGTGTTTTGGGAGGCTGCGATATGTTCGTGTTTGTCTCCTTGTAATAGCGCGGAACTGATGCCGACTTTATAGTGCTACATATGTACCTCACTGAAACATACTGCCGAAGACACCCAGCAGGACACCCCATCCGGTCACATTATACTATCAACGGGCGAACCAGTCGTCCCACTCCTAAATTGCTGAGTGTTAAGCAGGAGTAGAAACTACCATGTTATGTCTCGGTCAGGGGACAGAACCCAAAGCCTTCCTCACAGGGGCGAACGCTCAACTAAAGGCATTGTCAAGGGAAACATTAGGAAGAAGAAAGTTGTTAATAAAGAAGAGAAAAGATAAGATCCGAAATTTAGTCGCCTCTTACGATCATGCAATGGGGGCAGCAGATACCATTCTTACGCCCTACATGCAGGGAATCTTTAAATTAAATTAGGATAACTAATAATTTCAGTTTATTATAGTTTGAGGGATTTTGTAATTAAATACTAGGAAACAATTCAAACTCGCCGGTGATACGCAGAAGTTAATTTGCATTTATTGCCGTTTTTGAAGGGAAACATGATTCTTTGTTTCCCTAAGATTAATCCTGTTTCATGAAGACCAAGGACAATAAACTTATTGTCATCGTCTCCTTTAGTCTCTTGGAACTCATGTGTGACACATTTGCTCACTGTATAGAGGCTCGGAATAAAAGAAATATAACCGAGGAAACTCGAGCGCGAAAGGTAAAAATAAAACCCAAAGTGATTCAATTATTGCCCCAAAAGTACAGAGATAAATGAAGATTTGTTAACCTTCATACTTCAAGGGAAATGCATTGTCAATTATATCGGAAAGAAACAACTTGCAAAGAGAACATATATCAATCGTTGGATTACGTTACACTGTATGTGTGTTGAACAAGAGTAATAACTGACATTTCTCCAAAAGGCGACTATTTCGCACACACCAAATGTGTAAGTACACATACTCTCGTTCATTTGTGAAATCTCTTGTCTGTAGGTCACGTCAATGGTAAACCAAGAAGTGTACAGAAAAGGAGGTGTTCTCGGGAGTCTTCATTAATAGGCAAAACATAATTATATGTCGATTTGAAGCCATGCTATTAACGTAAACCAGTCAAACAGGTAAAAATAATGAGATATAATAATTTAACAGCACATGTGTCGCCTTCATAGAATCACACAGAACGTCTTCATTATTATCAGCTCCAGTGTAACATCACAACTTGTATTGAACGTATCTAATACTACTGGTGTCCTTACAACAATCCATATTAACTTGTATTTACCGTCAAGTGGAAGACATTTTCATGAGCAGTTGAGAAATAGATTAGCAGACATTCTGGTTTGAAACAGCAGACATACCTGATTGCATAGTAAAGATGATGAACGCACTGGTCAAGATCCACGTGGCGTCGTCATGTGACCGTACGGGATCGTCCCGTATGCTGTAACGACCTTCGGACGTGAAGAACTGACCAGGAGTAGTTCCGTTAATCTCAGTGGTCATCCCAAAGCAGTCTCCGGCCACAGCTGTTAACAGTTTGTCTTTAAATCAACAGCAGATTCAAGAGTAATATGCGGTTACGTCAGTGAAAAGAAACCTGCATGGGTGGAATCATGTAGGCGAAAAACCCGTCAACCAACCAACCAGCTGTCGGGAGAACGTGCGGATCGATCTCTGTTGTAAAAATGACAACAATGAAATAAAGACTGATTGAAGAATGTTTTAAGATGATATTTTTTAATTATAATCACGATTAATGAAGATCAGTGAAACGTGCGTGGAAACAATGTCAGTCCCGTGGGCCGGGTCGATTGACGCCACGGGACTTAAGCTTGTCCAAGTTACAATTACCTGTAGAAGTAAACTACAGGTAATAATAAACATAAATCAAGGTACACTTCGATTGTATTCTTAGGTGGTCACACATGAAAAACTTAAACAAAAATACAAGAGGGTTAAGTCAAAAGAATGATTATGTGTATTTAAGGAGTAAACAAGATTTTTGGAAGATTGATACGGCATATAAAAAAGGGCTCTTTGCATCGTCGTTGGATACTCACTGTCGACGGCGGTATACTTACCGACCGTGGGTGTCCGACGATGACTTTGCATACATCAGCGATAAAAATACTTTCATATAATAAATGAAAGAACATGTATATTTATTTAACGCTGGACTATGCTGTTTTCGTATATGTATATATTCGGCATTTACCTGTCCTTCGTACATGTATGTGAAGAGAACAACAAAATACTTCTTACAAATAAAAATAAAGATTAATAAACATGCATGTGGAACAATAACATTATATATTATTTATTTCTAACTCAAAGATTCATATTTCTATCGGGTAAAACGCGAAATATACCTTTGTATGTGAAAATAGAATGCGTTCAGGTGTTGAAAACTTTGAAGCGGATGCAAAACTACGTCACATGTGATTGGTGAACAATAATCACTCTGGTACTGTTCCCACACGTGATGTAAGAAATTCTTCCAATCTAGGTAAAAAAGGCGATATGGGTTGGATGTCTTGTGTATCCAAACAACGAATTGAAGTTTTTAGGTTGTGTTGTAAGTTAAAATCGGTGGATAATGACCGTATTCTGTACAAAGTTTATTCATGGTCCTCCAGGAAAGGTAAATCATGGGATGTAAAAGCTAAAAAATTAGCAAGTAAGTTTGGTATCGCCAATATTATTAATGACGCTCTAAATTCAGCTAAATCCGTTATGGCAAAAACCAAAATTAAAGCAAAATGAAATGTATATGTTAGAAAAAGCACAAATCTTCATTGTCAAATCAATCCAAGGTTTTAATGTAAGAACAAGAACAGATATGTGCACGTCCTTGTTTGGTTGGTTTTCTGTAGAAGTATACATCAGCGTAAAGAAAATGTTACTTTTTGGTAGAATATGTTCCATGGAAGTTGGCTGTTTAACACGCGAAATTCTTATCAAGCGCCTATTCGAATTCAACCTGTCTCAATTTAGTAGAGGTTTTGTTCCCGACATTGTTAATGTTTTACAAAAAATACAATTTGTACCATGTTATTGATGAATTTTTGAAGAGTGGTGTATTTCCAAACAAATGTCAATAGAAGCATTTAGTCAATGACCATGTAAAAACTATGAATAGTTTAATTTATGTGAAAGAATGAACGCTGATAGGGACTTCTCTCGCTTCACTCTTTTACATAATAAGATACAACCGTATGCTATATGGAACCTTGCTTTACGCTTTCCACAATACAGTCCATGTTTTAAGAAAGTTGTTAAACTTTGTGTTGAAATGCGCGATAATGAAAATATATATTTGTGTCATTACTGTGGATCTATGCACAAAGATACTATTATGCATAGTGTACTCGAATGCTCACACACAGAGCATCACGTGACCAGCTCTTGTGTGTACTCAGTACTGTAAAAGATATAGATTTTGTGTTTAATCTTATGTAATGTCTAATTACCATCTTCTTCATGTTCTTCTTGGTGGTATTTTCAATCATGACTTATCTCCATATGAACTGGAGGACTTTAGAATAAAAATCCATTGTTATTATTAATAAAATTCTTCAATACAGTGGTATTATGTAATTAATCCTTAGATATTTGAATGTTGTATACTTAAGCAATAAACTGCATAGATGTGGCAGACCAACTGGTATAACTGCCAGCGTAATTTTTTTTTATGTCTTTTCCAAATTTCAAATTTCCCGCTTATTACCGTCAGGTCAGGTCAGTATCTAGAACGGCAAAAAGATAACAGCTGACGTCATGCGCTATTTCCCATACAAAATTGAAAAGACTCCGCAATTTTCGTTAATAATTCATTTGATTTTGATTTATATATATATCATATTCTCGATTCATAAATAATAACAAATGACATTTTGTAAGTAACTAATCAAGTGTCGTAAAACATTTTCCGATTTTATTGCGACCTATATCCGGCGCACGAACTCAACGGAAGCCCGCAGTAATCGGGTCAGAGTTATATTTACAGTCCGGCATGTTGTTGATGTTGATCGTGCAACCGGAGAAGGTTGATTGGTGAAAAATCCAGGCGTAAAATTGTTTGTTGATCTCACAGACACTTGAGACAGTCAGCTGGTGTTCGGGATCAAAGCAGAAGATACCGATAAGTTCGGTAGTGACACTGTTAAGTCGCTCGGAGGTGCAAAGACCAACTTCAGTTATAGTCTCATAAGATGAAGCTGCTATTGGCAGTACTTTAGT